AATGTCGCAAAGATGGTTTATCTAATCTGAATAATTTTCGTTTTTTTTTCTCGCGGCCGAGAATTTCACAGATAATTGAAAGTAAGAAGACGAATCGGCCGTTGATAACTTAATATCGGGTTCATTTACATAGCTCTTCGGAGTATTGCAATTTGAAAGCTTAAATCGATCGATAGACTTGTTTGTCCTACCTTTTCCAATTACTGACTTTCTCAATAGAAGATACACCGATGAAGATTTAAAATTTAGCGCTTACAAAGAGAATGTACGAGCACTGAAAAAAGCTCCTGAATATTTTAGCGCTCTTGCTATCTCCCTGCCAACCTGCGCCAGTGACAAAATCGATTGGACATCCGAGAGAAGCGCTGAAATATTTACTGATTTTCCGGGTAGAGAAAATGCTAACAAATTCTCTTGCACAGTGGAAAAAGGAAAGCTTTGTTATTTTCGCTGCCGAGCTGCAATTTGCCGCGAGAAACAAAAGAGAGAAGGGATTCGATAAATGTATCTGTCTCTCAACTTTTAATTTTTTTTCCCTTTCTCTCTACCGAGAGACATTGAGTATCGCAATCACGGCTCCATAACTTTGTCTCGCGCACGAGCACTTGATCGAAAAACGCCACGCGGAAAGCGATAAGAGGAATTTCGCTAGACGAGCAGGAACCCGTGTCGTGCTGCTGCAATTGCCGTCGGCAAAAGCGCCAGTGATTTTCTTCTTTCTTTGTTTTTTACGACGCGTTTTTATTTTATTGGAAGACGTTTTCTACTCAAGCTTTATCTTATTCCCTTTGCTCTCTCTCTCTCTCGCTCTCTTTCTAAGGCACTTTTTAAATATTACGACGCGGAGAATTGTTTGCAAGTGACAGCTTGGGAGAGAAAGAAAGCTTCAGCTTATTAAATTCTTTTGTTATTGCCGAGTTTCCGGCTTCCAACGTAAGCCACTGTTGAAATGAGATTGTTGGCCAAGTAGTCTAGGCCAGTCTTTGATCGGACATCACATTGTTTCGAAAATAAAACTATTTAACGAGTGAAAAAACTAATAGCTTTGCGTCAAGAATATAGCGGAGCGTGCGATGATTGAGTAAAGAATTAATTTCGTGCTCGCAACAATCGATCGCCGAGGGAGAAATTCTCATTTCCCGCGCGTAAACAGCCGTGAAAGGGGTATCACGTCGAGCGACGACGAGAAAAGATCCATGAATTTTTTCGTGTTCCCGACTTTTCCCATTAAGATCAGTAAGCACGTGGGACCTTAGAAAGCGAATCTCACAACCACAGTTCGGGACAAAGGGAGTGTGTGTGTGTGTGTATGTGTGTGTATGTGGAGGTGGGTGTATACACAAACGAAAAACAGCTATTAGGCACTTTGTATCGATGACCCGTGTGAACGTTCTATACACACCGATCCTTTTTTTTCTTATTCGTTTTTCCACCTACTGCGCACCGTTCTTTATTCCCCTTTCTTTCGCTTTGGGGGCTCTGCGTGCTACTGCTTTTCTCTGTACTGTACTTTGACTTTTGTGCACGAGCTTTGCTTTTATCCACTTTCGTAAATCAAGCTGCGTAGTTCAACTTCTTTTACTAGTGAATTATACTTAGTTAACTTGATGCATACTCGTGATATAGGAACTAAATTATATAGACTAATTAATAAAATGTAACTTTATTTTTTAGTGTAATCACTCACTTTGTGTCTGAATTTTACGTGGTTGTATAGTATTGTAGATATAGTGTAAATGACGTTCGTGTTACATATAATTAACTTGATTAAAACTCTTTTATGATCGAAATGTTCACGCAGCTTGGAAACTCAGAACTCTTTTTCAACAACTCAAAAGATAAAAGCCTCAACGAAAGAAACTTCACTTTTTCCACAACAGGGCTTTCAACGTCGTGACTTTGATCTTTGAGGTTACTCGAAATAAAGCTCGCAGTTACACCAAAAAATACTTGCGCAGTGAGCAAATCTCGTGCTAATTTGAATCACACGTGAAAAGCGCGCGCAAATTATTCGGATAAAATTCAGTAGAGCGTATTTTTGATTTACGACGCATTCGATTACCGCAGAAGGCGCAAAGCGTAATTAATTAGCTTCCGAAATTCAGCTTGGACGAAAAAAAATGGAGCGCATCTGATGCACTACGCGAATAATTACGTTATTTTTCCGTTTCCGTATCCGTCACAGTGATAGATTATCGAATTTCGGCACACTGCAATGCCAAAAACGTGTACACTACACACTGATAAAAAATACGTGCTGCTTTTTCCAAAATCTCACCGAGCTATTTTAAATTCCGTATTTCGCTCAGTCATCATTCACGACTCGCTAGACAAATATAAAAAAAAAGTTTTGCAGCGCGATAGCTGAATTTCCGAATTTACATTTCCTTGTTAGTTTGTATATTTTATTGATTGGTAAACTTTCATCATGTCAGTAGCATAGCTTTTAATTGAAGATCAAAAACTTTCATCTCCGATAGGTGGACAAGGAGTAAGTACGATGGAATAGTAAAGAGTTTGTGAAAACGAACTCAATGTGGTAGAGAGAGGTGAAATAGAATAAGAGCCGCTAGGTAGAAATAAACGCAACGCTGAATACCTCGAAGAGGCTTTCAAAAGCACTTTTCGCACGGCAAAAATCTTGAATTCATTTTTGCCTTTGGCACTTTTTCGCTGGCGCTCTCTCCTTTTCTCTCTCATTCCCGAATACGAAAGAGATTTGAGGTCGACGCAAGAGAGTGAGAGAGAAAGAGGATACGAATATTCAGACCATAAATCGTTGCCGTCCATCCCCGCCGTTTTCTATGCCTTTATCCCCGCGGAAGCGTACAAATCTACGGCCCTTCGCGGGATTTTTGTCGACGGCGAAAGAATGGCCAAGAGCTCGGGGAGACAGCTAAAAAATAAAATGAACCTCCTTTTCCTTTTCTCTCGATTTTTCGCGAGCGGCGCTTTTCTCGCTTTTTTTCCCTCGCGAGCGAGCGAGCGAACGCTTTCTCTCTTTCACGCGTCGTAGGGGTTGAATTGAGCGTGTGCCAATGATTTTTCTTGTGGCTTTTTCTTCTCAAGCTTTTCGGGGCCATTCTTTAACTATTTCATTCTACGTTTGCTTTCTGATTTTTCAAGTTAATCTGTAATATTAATTTTGCACGAGTTATCTAACTGTGCTTTCAGCGGAAATTCTCGCTAAGAAATTAATTAATTGAAAACGTAAATTAGACATATGTAGTTATTAAAATGAAAAATTTTAGTTCATCAAACCCATCATACTGATAATTTCTGAAAATTATGCATTACTGGATATAATTTTCAGCGTCGAGCATCCATATCCATTCGCATTCAGGTTCACTGATGATGAATAAATCATCCAATACGCAAAATTTATCATTTTCGTTCAACTTATCAAGCACGTTTTAAAAGTGGATTACCAAGTGGTCATTCCTCCCTTTTGCGGCATACATCTCGTATCTTTAGAAAATTCCCTCAATAAGGCACAAAAGAAAAGAAAAAAAAACGGAAGGAAGACCGCCTTTTCACGTTGTGCGACGGCAGCGACGCGACGCTTTTACTCTCCCGCGGAATCTTTGCATTTTACGATGAGGAGCAGTATACGCGAGAGCACGACGTAATATGTTTGCGTCACGTGCGGAGTATTTGCTCCGAGAGCTATACTACTTCTCTCTTATACCTCGCGCGTATGTATGTATATATGTCTACCAAGGGACAACGTCGACGTGTTCCTATATTTGACTATAATATCGACCCTATATAGCTAATATATCTAATATGTATCCGCGGAATGCGCACGAGAGGGTGAGAGAAAGGCAAACACGTGCAACGTTTGCTTTTTCCCTCTGCTTTTATGTGCCTTTCTTCTTTTTCTTCTTATTCGAACTTCGTTCTCGCGTGTGTAGAATTTATTAATCTTTGCGCTTGATCGTTTGTTCTATCTCTTTTTCCTTATATTTACCCGAAGCGACAAAGTTGCTTTTGCTATTCTTTTTTGATTCGTTATTTATTGCATACCCTGGCACTGCGTTTACTTTCGTACCATTGACTAAAAAACCTCCCGTTAGTATTTACATGCTATTACGGAAATTACGAGTATAAGTTCTGTCTGGGGTTCGCTTTTTTCCGTACATATGCAAAGAGAGAGAGAGAGAGAGAGAGAGAGAGAGAGAGAGAGAGAGAGAGAGAGAGAGCTGTCAGACATTTCCAGCTAAAAAATAATTTGTCACCGAGTGGTGCGCGCTTTACGAAAGCAAAACATGTTCAACCGTTATACATTTAATATAATCTGTCTTTGATAATATTTAATCTGTCTTTCGACCTATGCACCTTGAAGCTTCTTCTCGCGCGGCTTTTTTCATTTGCGATTATGTACTGAAGAATACTAAATGGGTTTTTAAAATCCTCATATCCTTCAACTACATGGACATGCAAAATTGAAACTCAACGCAAATGATGCAATTTACAAATGCGCAAGCACATAAAGTCACAGCTGAAGGATTACATAAAGGCGCTTGTGCTTGCGGGTAGTAATCCTGTGACAACGCGTATAACCTACGTCTAAGCAATAATTCCACAAATCCAGAGCGCAGTAGTACATATTCCTACCCCCCTCCCCCCTCCTCATCATAATCTCCGAAGCGATTGTCGATACTAACGCGGCAAAGCGTCCGCTTAATGTAATCGAAGATCTGTACTAGGGGAATAGGTTATATAGTCTCGTTTTGTCAATAGAGCTTAACGCACTTGAGACACGAAGGCAGTAATTAATCCTGTAACAGAATGAGCTACTTCTCGTACTCGCGCTTGTGTGCGAGTCGTCCTCTGATATCCGAAATCGATGTTAGTAGTCGCTTTCCTTCAAGTGACGACGACGACGTACTCAACGCTAATGACTCGCACGTGATGCCTATCTTCCGCACTGTGTGTATACATTATTTGCCGAATGCTTTCTAGATATCAATGTCTTGACATCTCATTTCTGTTTACAGGTAAGGATCTAAATTCCGCCAGTAATAACGCCGGTGAGTGTCTTTAACCATTCTAACAGACTATCTTGATTGTTGTTATTTTTCATGCTTTATTTTTTTCCTGTGTGTTCTGTTTCTCTTCTATGTTTAATTAATCTTTTTCTTACTGTAGAAAGTTGATGAAATTTTAGATTTAGAAATTTATATGATAGTGTATCTTAACTTGCTCTATTTGATTGGTTCAATGATGTTAACTTTACTAACTACACGTAGTTGATAAAAATTATTTGATTACACAAATTTGAAGTCGTGTAAAATTTTCGCTTGTCTACACTGAAGGCGATACAACAAAAATTTCATTCTTTTTTTGATTTGCTACAAAGTAAAAACGAAAAAGAACTTTCTTTGATTCACCATCCTAAAAAATTTTTACGTCACTTTTCATGTTGCCAATATTTCACGTTCAAAATTGAATTCTACAACAGTACCTTCATGCCCGACGATAAACAATCGTCACGCACGCGTACTTCGTAAACCCAAAAAGGATAAAAAGGAAAAGAAGTACATACCCGGTAAGAGAAAACACGGAAAGGGCATAACGAAGTATCGGAAATAAATTGCCACGGGATATCTCAAGCTTTACGAGCTTTGCAGTAAAGTCAGGGGAAAAGAAAGAAAAACAGAATTGAAGATATAGATTTACGTAAGTCTTTGGTGATTCACTTGATTAAAGGGTCTTAGCAATCAAGGATGAGAATTACATTGTACTTAATTAATTTAGCTGTACAATTTCATGTATCCCTTTCATGATACGAAGGGACTTCGGCGTATGCCGAGCACACATACAAACAGGATTGATACTTTCAAAGGGTCAAAAATCAAAGATTTTTTAAGGATTCGGAGGAAATTAAATTATTGGAATCAAGAGTCTTTTAAGGTTGACTTATGAATGTAAATTAATCATTTCAATATTCTACTAAATTATATAATTTAGTGGAGTAGGAGAATACATTTTGGAACAATGCGAACAAAATTGTAAAAGCGAAAAAATGTTGTCTGTGTTAATTAAAAAGAAACAATCAAGTAGAAGTGTTTCCCTCGAAAATAAAAATTCACGCATGAAACAAAAGCGCAGCCGCACTCAAATGGAACGTGAAAATGATGAAAATACTTGTGTAAAAATGCAGACATTCCGCGTCGTGGAAAAAAGCAATCAAATAAATTTGCAGCGACGCGACCCCGTGAGCTCAAACTGAAGCCTAGTATGCCCTTTTTTTACAGCAATAGCGGCAGTAGAAGATACGAAGCATAATTCCCCAGGCGTAAAAAAGCGTAAACATTTCGCAGCTGCAGTCGCATGGGAGTAGAAAAAAAACAACCTGAATTAAATCGTACTTTAATGCGACATTCGCACCAACGGAGAGGGCAAAAAAAATCAGTTTTTGCCGTCCTTGCACTCACAATGTCGACGGCGACATTCCCGAGCGATTATGCATTCGCACGAGTCGACGGTTCAAAAAACGCAGTTGCGCGTCTTACGTTAATGCATTATGGATTACGAGTGTTTGCTCAGAGACTGATGTTATGCTTTCGATTACACGCGATTACTGTTGGTTATGCATACTGCACGTTCGCGCGCTCAGTTTGAATTTTATAACAACAATTATGCTGGTGAAAAAGTTAATATCCGATTATTCCGTGCTTCTTTCGGTATCGAAAGTCACATTCGAAATAGTTAGTCATTCGAACAAGCTCAGTTGGAAAAATTTAATTATGATCTATGAAAAGCCATATAATCGTATTAATAGAGATAACTCAGAAAATTGGCGAAGTATTCCACTTCAAATAGGCGGATATAAACAAATTTTACGCTTGAATTTTGAAATTTGAACAAACTCTTTCACCGCACGATAATTGAATTTTCATCTCAAATTAACCGCAAAACCGAAGTCCACTCCTGCTTCGAATTAAATTATCCCATTCCCAAGCCCAGAGATCCCTTTTTTCGTCAAAGTTACAGAGAGAGAGAGAGAGAGAGAGAGAGAGAGAGAGAGAGAGAGAGAGAGAGAGAGAGAGAGAGAGAACGAACGCTTTTAACAAAATCTGCTACAACTCTCTGACGATATCGTCGGGTCCGAGCGCACGCTCGTCTCAAATCGAATTAAACGAGTGCTTCAAAGCCTTGCACGTGCGTGCGGAGAAAGCAAAATTAATTTTCAGATAGAGAGGGTCTAAGGCGATTACCGGTCGTGAATTAAGTTCGCGATTAAATCGCCTACGTCAGCCCAACGTTATCGGGATGCGCGATTACTGCTACAGTAGTATATGCGCCTTGTATACCCCGTCGAGCACACAAATCATAGCGTCTATCTTATTTTTCAATTATACGCTAATTTTCATCATTTGGATTATCTATCTGGGACGGATGCTCGACTGACGCTCATCGTGATTTCATTGTAGATTTGCTTAATTTTACTTTGAAATATTTCTCTTGAAACACTTTCAGAATTATTATTCATAAAGTAACGTTAAACCATAATATAAAGACTATTCATCAAATTAGCCAGAATGAATATATTCAATTCAATTTCAAAAAACCGATAAATTTATAGCAGAAATGAACTAACTGTGAGAAATCAGTATTTCTACATAATCGCATCAATAAAAACAACTGGATTAATTGATGAATTCATTAATATTTATTTGAAGACCGCAAGCACTCTCTCGCTCTGCAATAATAACTTACTTATATATAAAAGCTTTGTCGTTCGTTCGCGCGTATAAAAAGTACTCAAACAAAAATAATCTGCACACAATGCAGCGACGACGCGACGCCATACATAGCAGCGGCAGCAGCAGCAGCAGCAGCAGCCAACAATAGACGACGGGTCGATTTATCCAGCGAGCGTCATTAGCGCCAACGGACAGCAAGCTGGCTATTGAATGCATAACGAACGAATATTCAAAAGGTACGACCCCCAACGAAAATTGTATTATAGACATGCATGTGGCGATCGATCAAACGAACACCACAGTGACGCGGCATCCTCTTGTCGCAGAAACTTTGAGCGATCGCCTATCCGAGTAATTAAATTGTTTGTCAAAGCTCCTTACGTGCAGTACCATCTACGCGTATATATGCGAAATTATTACTGGAAAATTTCTTTCGCAGGCGCGTGGTTGCAATTTTTTAGTCATAATTGAACACGGAAAAACTAGCGCGTGGCGATTGATCTACATTCGATGTATAGCAATCAGGGCGCGCCGCAATCAGCGATATTAAACTTCGTCGCCGTGGCTGTTGTTGTTGTAGATGCGCCCATTTTTCACCGCGAGCTCGACAGCAGCTTTGCCTTTTATTTATTTATCCGCATTGACCTTTTGCAAGGCATCCAGCGGGTGCATTAAAAAACTGCCACGTTGAAAAAAAAACAACAACAACAAGGCAAGAAACATTTTAGGGGTGGTAGCGTGGTCGTGTTAAAAATCTCGTTTCGCTTCTCTTCTTTCACTGCGTTCTGTATTTGTTATTCTTTTTTTTTTCATTTCTATGCTAGCGCTCGAGTTCGTTTTTACTTTTTTTCATTTTTCCGTTGGCACTCTCAGTGATTTCCCCAGCGATATCAAATCGCGAGAATCGAAACAGTTGCGCGTCTCGCGGATTTACACGTGGATTTATTCTTCTTTCTAGCGATGCTTTGTTTTTGTGCTCGCACGCCTGCGTCCTCGATGTTGTTTTCACATTTTCCTCTCGCCGCGTTGCGCTTGCTAGGTGTGATGCGCTTTCCCTTATCTTTTTAACTTTAATTATTACTTGTATGTGCGCGTATTTATCGACAATATTTCTTCGTTTTGATTGGGTATTAAAAAGAAATATAATACTTGAGTAGTATGGATTTTGTTCGTGTATAGGCTGATATGTTACTTTTATGCAATATATTTTGCCATTTTTTTAAAGGTAAATAGAAGAATGACAAATCTTTCCACAAAAAATAGATAATTAAAGAAAATTTTAAGTAATACATAACGTACAATTTTGTTTATTTTGTCAAAGCATCGATAGATATTAATCTGAATTTAACTACAAATATTACTAACACATTAGATCACAGTTTATTGCAAGCAAAACCTGCGAACTACTGCCTCCAAAGTGTTTTACCTCCGTCCATCCCTCATTCTCTCTCGCATTGTCTCAGTACACTCAGCCAAAGCAAATCCCTGCTTATTCAGACAAATAACCCTATCCTCAGAGAGGGAGGCATTCTCACTCTCCAATATAAATTGCACTTTTCTCCTATTTACCGATCTTCCTTCTCGTCCTGCAAGCTCCTCGCAAAAGAGAGAAAAAAGAAGGAGGAGTAACGAATCGTCCCCAAGAGAGATAACGGGTCTGGCGCATTTTTCTGGCTGGCGCAGCGGGAAGTCGTTCCTTCTAATCTGGCGGCGCGCGTGCTTCCGGTTAATTTTCCAGTAAATAAACGCAGAGAGAGAGAGAGAGAGAGAGAGAGAGAGAGAGGATTCTCCTTTTCCTGTCGGAAATGCAGCGCCGCCCTCTCAGAAATCGATAGTCTATTATTTCGGCTTAAGTCGGTCGCCTTTATGGTATTTGTGCTTCCGAAGCTTGCATGTTGCATGTTCTCAAAGCTCTCTTCATTCTTACACGTGAAAAGCATGAATAAGAGACGTTGTATATGGACGAATATTCTTGAATTATCTCTCGACGTTCTATGCTAATCAGAAAAAGAGAGTATCATCTAACATTCTGCCGCGATGAAAGGAACTGCATGTAACGTCAAAAACTTTCTACCAAAGTTTTTGGAAAGCTCTGATTTGGAAAATTTGCTTATCCTTTTTTTCTAGTAATCTGTCAGTTATTTTCAGTTTTTGAAGCCTATTGAAATGTGACGAGAGAAATTTGCTGCCGCGTAGCAATGTTGGGCGTGAATAATGTAGCGTACTTTCCGCGAGCGCTCACACATAAACACACCATACTAAAACTCAGCCGAGATGTGCATTCAAGCGAAATAATTAAATTAACAATGGGAATCGAGCTT